TTTATAATTCGTATTCAGCTCTAGCTATGAATAAGGATGAAAATTTATCGGACACGCGTTCAGGATCGCAAGGTACATCATTTTGGACTGCCTGAACTTTATTTGATGAAATGTTGTGTGCTTTTCCGTGCTTGAGCTTAGATCAGTTTCGAAAAAATGCATCAAATTTTAAACAATTTCAAGAGCCCCTCAACTGTGTAAAGTAGTGTACAATAAGTTAATTAAAGGCTCTCGAATCCATTTTAGATAAGTTGTCAAAATCCGGCTTCAAATCTCAGTCAACTTTATGGATACAGCTAAAGTTAATAAAAAAATGATGCCAAGTTTTTTGTTGCAAGAGAACCAAGGATCATGTATATAAAATAAATTTGTGTGTGCATAAGAGATATTGAGGAATTACTCAAATCAGCCTTATGCTTAAAGAAAATAACTTAAATTTTGCATATCGGAAAATTTAACAAGCAAAAAGCTTTCTTGAAGCATTTGTGTACATAAAATGCGAGCATGTAAATTTTTGGAATTTAGTTGAAAAAAACACATCAAAATTCCGAAACGCACGTCAACTAATTGTTTGTGTAAATGCACATAATTAATTTTTTTTTGTTTTACACTTTTCTTTGCCTTTGCCTTTCTTAATGTTCTACAAAAAAAAAAAATGGTCAAAAGCAAGCGCAAATTAATTAGTCCCTTTTTTCAAAGCGACCCTCAACTTGGTAATTAAATCGCAATTGGTTTAAGCACGAGCACATAATCGAATGCATGAGATATTAAGTATGTCAAAATAAAAATGGAACTTTTTCGGGAAAACTATATTGAATCAAATTCTGGCATTTCAAAGAGAAAAGTTGTGGAAAAATCAACCCGCAAATTGACTCCACAACGGGAACGCACGAAGGCACAAAACCCAATTCAATTTGAGATAATCAAATAAATTGAATTAGATGCGAGTCAGGCTGCCAAAAATTTCAAAAATTCATAACACAAGCTTGGGGGGGCGGGGGGTGGGCGAGCCGGACCTTTAACACTTTCCGCAGCCGTAGCTGTGGCTGGCAACAAGGATACGCTAAAGTGAATCTCAACGAGCTCATAAAAATTAACAATGAGTGCCGGAAAATGCAAGCATATGACGCTAATCCGGCTGGCATTAGACCGCAGTCGGAAGCAGTTGGCACAAAAGCCAAGCCCAAACTGAATCGAGAAACGCTCCAGCGCACGGGCAAGTGGCGAGTGTAACAAATGTGACCGGGGAGACGACTGACTGGTCGCTGAGGGTTAAGTGCATCAAGGAATCGGAATCAGGCAACTACACAATCAAATTAGGGTGTGATGGCAAAACAATTGTTCCCACTTGCCCTGAGGCAAGGCGAATCGTTCGAGTCATTTGCCCGTTTGGCCTAATGGCACCCTAATTGTATGTGTAAATATATTTTGCGGATTACAGGGCGTCAATGTCGTCGCGCCGGGATAAGATCCGTTCCCTCCCACCACTGCTCCGGCTCTTGACAAATTACAATTTAATTTAAATGAACTACATAAGTGATTTTTTATGGCAAATCCTTTTTTTTTTTCTTTTCTTTTCGCAGAGCTGCACTGTTATACGCCGCCGCCGCCGCAACATGAACAGCAATCGGTGGCGCCTCCGGCGGCCAATACGCCGAGTCGCCTCCTAAGCTGGAATCACAGCGCGGCTGCGGCTGCTGCCGCGGCGGCAGCAGCTGTCGCCTCCAATCATCAGGCGGCCGTCGCCGCCGCCGCTGCCGGCGCCGGCGGTCAATCATCGGGGGATCAATCAGGACTGCCGCGACTCAAGGGCCAGAATCTGGGCCTCATCTGTGTGGTGTGCGGCGACACCAGCTCCGGCAAACACTACGGCATACTGGCCTGCAATGGCTGTTCCGGCTTCTTCAAGCGCAGCGTTCGGCGCAAGCTCATCTATCGGTAGGTGGAAAAGCAAAACAAAAAAATGTGACTGGACTGGGCAAATCTCGAGCTCGAGCTTCTGCATTAAATGTCGCTTGCCATTTAGCAAGTGGCTGGGTGGTGGGTTGTGTGCCGCATTCGGTGTCTGGCGGATTACGAAATGTTTCGAAATTTATTACAATTATTCAAATCTTTGGGATTTGAGCGTCAACTTTTGAATGCGTTGACTTTGCCAGCAAATCCCGGCGAGCATCATGTGCACACATTTTTTTTCTATCAAAAAAAAAAAACCGCCACAAAATGTAATTGAATTTAAAGTGCAGATTTAATTTTAGGTTCGACGTTTTTCGCAGGGGGGGGGGGGGGGGGGGGGGGCGTAACTGCCTCTACGTAGTGAAGCCCGTTTTGACTATAGCTCAGCTATACTTTGCTACTTATTTTATGGCACATTTCCGTTCATAATCGTTTTTCTTTTATGATACTTGTTTCTGTTTCGCTTTCAATTATCGTTTAATCGGGGCATAGTTTGGCCCATGCGGCAGATAAATAACTTTGGCGACAAATTCCTTGCGAGTCAACATAAAATTATGAATTTGTGTTATGTATATTCCTTTAGCCGGTGCTCGGTAAATCACAAATGTCGAAATCTCTATATCCTTGCGGTCCCCTGAGATTGATATGGAGGGCTTAAGCGCAAAACACTTGGCCAAATGTGACCGCCGCACCAGCACAAGCACCCGCACCAGCACATCCCACCTCCCCCTTCATCCGACCAAAAAGAGACCCTTACGAAAAACCTTCCCAACCACCGACAGCAGCTAAGCCCAGGCCAAATCACAGCAGAGTACAAAAAAAAAAAAAAAATAAAGAAGGAAACAACAGAAGCTCTCAGCCAAATAGAGCAACAATTTGCGGGGGGCACAGCGGAGGGTTGAAGCAGCAGACGTAGCAGGACCCGGACTCGGACCCGGATCCGGGCCAGGACTGGCGAACAAGTATATTTTTCTGCTACGTGACATGTTTTCTCGATAGTCAGCGAAGTCAATGTGCCGCCCGACAAGAATCTGAATTTTATATGTATGTGTATATTTCGGTCTCACTCTCTCTCTGGTGGCCGCATTAAGACAATTTCAATTATAATCAATTGCCTTCAATCAAAACTTTTGGATGTACGAGTCGACTGTGTGTGGGAAATCAATAGAAATTGGTTAAGTGAACATTCTTTATAGGAAAAAGAGTTGCACTTCGGTGCCTCATCAGAAGGACAAACTGAGAATGATAAAGTTAATCTCTATTTGACCCGACTGAATGAATGACCGACAGATTGATTGACTGATAGACTGGCTGATTGATGATCAACTACTGCTGAAAAAGCTGTCATTTTAACAGTACTTACCTTATGGGATGAAGGAGCACGTTAAGACGTGGAATATTCCGTTTGCATGTCTGGAAAAAACGTGAAAAACGTTTAGATGAAACTTTTTTGTTGAACATCATGTTTAAAGATCTTTGAGAGAATTTAGTTTACATATGCCACGGACAAGACCGCGATATTATCGCTAGTACCCTATATAAACATAGGTAAAAATTTCCCACCCCATAACTCGGTCAAATCCCATCCAATTTTCACGCGGATTGGCTTTTTCTTCACGGTTTGACCCTTAGATAAATTTTGTATCAAAATGGGGCAACCTCAATTTTGGTCCAAGTTCATGTAAAAATCATACTCTCAAATATCTCATATACTTATGTAGACATAGGTCAAAATTTCCCACCCCTGTTACTCGGTCAAATCCCATCCGATTTTGACGAGGTTTGGCTTTTTCTTCACGGTTTGACCCATAGATTAAATTTGTATCAAAATGGGGCAACCTCAATTTTAGTCCAAATTCATGTTATAAGGGTACCCTCAAATATCTCATATACTTATGTAGACATAGGCCAAAATTTCCCACCCCTGTAACTCGGTCAAATCCCATCCGATTTTCACGAGGTTTGGATTTTTCTTCACGGTTTGACCCATAGATTAAATTTGTATCAAAATGGGGCAACCTCAATTTTAGTCCAAATTCATGTTATAAGGGTACCCTCAAATATCTCATATACTTATGTAGACATAGGCCAAAATTTCCCACCCCTGTAACTCGGTCAAATCCTATCCGATTTTCACGAGGTTTGGATTTTTCTTCACGGTTTGACCCATAGATTTAATTTGTATCAAAATGGGGCAACCTCAATTTTAGTCCAAATTCATGTAAAACCGTACCCTCAAATATCTCATATACTTATGTAGACATAGGTACAAATTTCCCACCCCTGTAACTCGGTCAAATCCCATCCGATTTCCACGAGGATTGGCTTTTTCTTCACGGTTTGACCCTTAGATTAATTTTGTATCAAGATGGGGCAACCTCAATTTTGGTCAAAGTTCATGTAAAAATCGTACTTTCAAATATCTCATATACTTATGTAGACATAGGTCAAAATTTCCCACCCCTGTAACTCGATCAAATCCCATCCGATTTTCATGAGGTTTGGCTTTTTCTTCACGGTTTGACCCATAGATTAAATTTGTATCAAAATGGGGCAACCTCAATTTTGGTCAAAGTTCATGTAAAAATCGTACCCTCAAATATCTCATATACTTATGTAGACATAGGTCAAAATTTCCCACCCCATAACTCGGTCAAATCCCATCCGATTTCCACGAGGATTGGCTTTTTCTTCACGGTTTGACCCTTAGATTAATTTTGTATCAAAATGGGGCAACCTCAATTTTGGTCAAAGTTCATGTAAAAATCGTACCCTCAAATATCCCATATACTTATGTAGACATAGGTCAAAATTTCCCACCCCTGTAACTCCGTCAAATCCCATCCGATTTTCACGAGGAAAGCTCTAAGTTCACCGAATTACTTTTAATTATTAATTATTTTTCAATTCATTTAATTGACATTAAAAAACAATATATTCCTTTAATCAGTTATATTCGACTCCTCTTGGCCTGGCCAACTTCTCCGCTATATTCATTTGTTTAATCAGCGTAAAGACAGAGAATGAGAATTTGGTAGCCTGCAGGATATGAATTATGAATTCATTTTAATTTATAAAATGCATAAATTATTTCGTATACAGTTAAGTGGATCAGAAGTGCAGCCAAAATATAGAGAACTCTTTGCTTAAAAGATAAATGAGATCTGACAGATTTCATTTAAACTCACATTCAGATTGGTTGCCACGGAGATGGTGAAAAAGTTGCCGGCCATGAAAACGATTGGCTTCTGCAACCTCTGCAAGAACTGAAGCAAGGCTTTCTTGTAACGCTGATCCTGATAGATCCAATTGGACTCAAACAGAGCATCCGCCAGTTTTGAGCAATCATCCGCCAAATAGTTACAGAGTATGCAGAAGGGCGTTGTCTGCAGCAGCACTGCTGTCATATATGTAAGAGCGGCAATGCGAGAGCCCCAATTGGCAAACAGGACAATATTAATCAGAGTGAAGCCCAACACGAGACCCACAACCAGAAGCTGCACAAAAATGGTGCCAGAGATCACAGGGCGCAAAGTATCGCAGCAGCTGTAAAACGAATCGATGTACAAGAAATATCTTCAGTTAATCCAAGTTGAGTCCCACCGTAGCATAACCTTGTGGTCCTGAATGCACTCGACGAGCTTTTCGTAGCGCTGCTCCGGTGTCTCGTCCGCATCCTGGCCCAGTTTCCGCAGCCTCTCCGCAAAGTTGGCTAGATGGGCACGCAATATTAGCACGTAGTTAATGGGATAGCAATCCATGCAGCCATTTTGAAGGCAGGCGCCCAACAGGGTAAAATATTCCAAGCTGGATTGCAGCCAGAACTCAAACTGGCCGGCACGCCAGTCCAGCCCGGGATAATAGTTCTGGAACATGGGCACGCCCACGATTACGGAGCTGAGAAAAGTACTCGTCACAGTAATGAAATAGACGGATATGTAGCAGAAGAAGATGCGATTACTGATGGACACCGCGCGATGCACTTTTCGGCGTTCGCTGGGCTGCAGCAGGCGCCTGTCCATTTCATCCAGTATGAGGTTGGCCTGATCGAAGCGTTTGACCAGCGCCCAGATAATCATCACCTTAATAGAACAGGAACAGACATTGAAGGCCACCTGCAACGAGGTGAGAAACTCACTCGGCGATAGCTCGGAGAGATGCGAGATGTAGCCCGTCATGAAGCCGATGGGCTGATAGAAAGTGGAACACAGATTAAGCGCCAAGGACCACAGAATGTAGACGAAAAAAAGGTATCCCTTAGGCGGCGTTCTGATGCCCATTAGGAAAATACAGCGCAGCAAATAGCGTGTCGCATTCCTTGATTGAGCTGGCGCCGTATCCGGCAGCGTGTACATGCTCGGAAAGATTTCACGCAATGCCATGCTTGGAGCAGGAGTTGATATCAATTGGATAATAAAACACAGCCTGCCCAATTGCCGCCATTTAAGGCTTATATAGTTGATTAGTTTTATAAATTCTGAATAATGGATGAGCAACAATTTGAAAACTTTTCAATTGAAAACAATTCAAGGAAAAAGGACATGCCACTGCGCTTGCCCAGTCATAACCCTGTCAATGAAAATTACTCCAAGTCAAGTTTGTTGTTGGCGCTCGACACGTAACGCTTCGACGGGGCGTAAAAGTTTACACTTTGTTCCCATACATAATAAATAATCTGTGCCCCGCTGCAGGCTGTGCTCGTTCCCAGATATACATGTAATTGATTGTACCAAAAATATTATTTCCTTAACTATTCTTGATCCGCTTAAATGGACGAGTCCATATAGGCTCGTCGTATATATGAATGCGAAGATTTCTGAGACTCTAAGAACTGGAGACTTTTATTTAAATGTTGCTCCAATTAGTTTACCTAAAGGTCGATAATATTTTAAATAATCGATAACTTGCCACATTTTCTTTACATCGATAAAAATCGATGTCGATAAAATCAATCTGAGAGCTTACAAAAGCTATCAACAAAGTGTGCATATGTAACCCTGTTAAATGTAATTGATATATCGATACAAATCGAAATAATGTATCGATAGTTTAATTAAATATCGAATAGTGTGAGCAGTCTTGAGCTTGGGTATTCACACATATTTGGAAATGCTTTCTATGCCCTCTCATTGCGATTGAAATATAAATTTAATAGGTTTTCAAGAATGAATTTCTTTTAGTGAAGAGAATATTCTTCCTTGCTTTAAGAAAAAACTTTTTGACTTTCAAGACACATTAACCAATCCTACCTCAGTATGCCAAAAACACGTGAAGAATCCGCAGCTAACTAGTTTTGGTTTATTGTAAGATTTCGATTTTTTTTGAGTAATAATAAGCGAACGCCCTTATTTTGTATAAGGTTCTTAAACATTTAAATACAAGTTGCTTGGATTAAAAACTCTGACAATAATTTTTGTTTATACTTTTATTCGACTTCCTTTGGCCTGGCCAATTTCTCAGCTATATTCATTTGTTTTACCAGCGTAAAAACGGAGAAGGAAAATTTGGTAGCCTGCAAGATTTTAATAATAAAATAGTTAAAAGCTTCGGATCAGACAAATATCAAGGGGATTTCATAGGTAGCCTCAGGAAAATAAAGATATGAAGTATTCCTTCTAAAGATCTTCACATTTTCTGGCGGTTCCCTCGCTAAGACTCACATTCAGATTGGTGGCCACGGAAATGGTGAAAATATTGCCGGCCATGAAAACGATTGGTTTTTGCAGCCTCTGCAAGAACTGAAGCAAGGCTTTCTTGTAACGCTGATCCTGATAGATCCAATTGGACTCGAACAGAGCATCCGCCAGCTTTAGGCAGTCGTCCGCCAAATAGTTACAGAGTATGCAGAAGGGCGTTGTCTCCAGCAGCACGGCTGTCAAAAATGTGAGAGCCGCAATGCGGGACCCGAAGTTGGCAAACAACACGATGTTGATAAGGGTAAGACCCAACACAAGACCCACAACCAGAAGCTGCACAAAGATTGTGCCAGAGATCACAGGGCGCAAAGTATCGCAGCAGCTGCAAAACGAATCGATGTACAAGAAATATCTTCAGTTAATCCAAGTTTGAGTCCCACCGTAGCATAACCTTGTGGTCCTGAATGCACTCGACGAGCTTCTCGTAGCGCTGCTCCGGTGTCTCGTCCGCATCCTGGCCCAGTTTCCGCAGCCTCTCCGCAAAGTTGGCCAGATGGGCACGCAATATTAGCACGTAGTTAATGGGATAGCAGTCTACGCAGACATTCTGAAAGGAAGCGCCCAACAAGGATAAATACTCCAGAAATGATTGAATCCAGAACTGAAGACGTCCGGCACGCCAGTTCAGGCCGGGATAATAGTTCTGGAACATGGGCACACCCATGACCAAGCCGCTCAAGAAAAGACACGTCACACAGAACATGTAGACGGTCATGTAGCTGAGGAGGATGCGATTGCTGATGGACACCGCGCGATGCACCTTGCTGCGTTCGCTGGGCTGCAGCACTCGCTTGTCCATCTCGTCCAGCGTGAGATTGGCCTGATCGAAGCGCTAGGACAGCATCCAGACAATAACCACTTTGATGGAACAGCTCAAGGCATTGACGGCCACCTGCAGCGAGGTGAGCAGCTCGCCCGGCGATAGCTCCGCTATGTGAGAGATGTAGCCCACCATGAAGCCGAAAGGCTGGTAGAAAGTGGAGCACAGGTTGAGCACAAAAGACCACAGAATGTATACAAGAAAGCGATTTCCTTTGGGCGGCGTTCTGATGCCCATTAGAAAAATACAGCGCAGCAAATAGCGCGTCGCATTCCTTGACTTAGCTGGCGCCGTGTCCGGCAGCGTGTACATGCTCGGAAAGATTCCACGCAAAGCCATGCTGCAGGAGCCGCTCTCAATTGGAAAATAAAACAAAACCTGCCCAATTGCCGCCTTTTAGGACTTTTATAATTCTGGCCAAATGTCGTGATTAGTTGGGTAAATTGTGAATAATGCATAAGCAACAATTTGTAAACTAATCAATTGAAATCAGTTCCAAACTTTTCCAGTTGTAATCCTGCATTGAAAATTATTAAAAATCCAAGTCTGTTGCGCTTGTCACGTAACGCTTTGGCGGGGCGTAAAAGTTTACACTTGTGCGCATAAATAATTAAATACTTTATATTTCTATTGCACTGGATTCCTCCACAGGCTGAGCTCGTTCCCAGAGCGCATGTTATGTATTATATTCGACTTGATTCTACCTTTAGTTTTAGTTAGTTAGCCTTAACGCAACAGAAGCTAAAACGCAGGAAGTAGAAATCAAAATAAGGAATATTGTTAGCTAAACTCTTTAATTTTGGAATTTGGAATCCAAAAAAGTACCTTTCCCTAGCTGAAAATTCAAAATATAACAAATACATTATTTGCATCATAAAAATGAAAATATTGAGTGCAATTTTGGGAATAAGCCTTGACCCAAATGTTGGCCGCGTCTATTTGGAACTTTTATTTTATTTAATAATTTAATTTTGCTTGACTTAGAAACAAAAATTGCAGCATTAAATATAATATTAATATTGATTTTGTTAACATTTTTATTATTATTTTTTTTTTTATTTAAAAATTGTAATTAAAACATTCATCTTCAAAATTGGGGCTAGTCTCCACTTGGATATCGGATAAAGATTGTGCATAAATTTTGGACTTTATTCTCCCAAGCCGATAAAAAAACAAGCTGATAATAGATTTATTTATATTTTTTTATTGTCTGCAATAGAGAAATAAACGACTCGAAGCAGCCCACAGCTCCGCTTTCAATCTACGTGATTTGTTTTCGAAAGCGAAGCATTTGCATATTAGATACACAAATAGTGGGTGCACACACACACACAAAGTGGTGTGGACTGTGTGTATCTGAAAGATACATTTAGCTAAGTGCTTTGTTAGTTAGTCAAACTTCAGCTGCGGCGCCACAAAACACATAAAAAGCGAGGAATATTTGTCGAGGAGCGTGTGGAGTTCGTTTGGGTTGGAGCGAACGGAGGGAGGGGGCAGCCAGAAGACGCAGCCAACTCACAGCCAAGAACCTTTGCCATTTTGTGCTTTGAGTTTTGGCACAGGCTTAGAGTGCGACAAGGATGCAGCACACTGTGCGCTGTGCGAGTGCGACAGAGATGCAGAACGATGACGACCAGGCTGACTAAGCTGAAGTGGCAGCGGCTTAGCAGAGGGAGAGGGGGCAGATTGTACGAGAGAGGCGAAGGGGTGGGCAATGATTCAGTCAGACGCAGACAGACAACATGATTTGATTAAAAGGCCACAAGTGCCAGAACAAAGGCCCAATAGATACGCTCAGCTGTTGAGATACTTTTCGTATAGCCTGTAGATGCTCGAGTACGCTTCGCAAATGTTGACAAATGTTGCAATTTTTGACACGACAAATCTGGTCGGCAGGCGCTTAACTTAATTATCGCGGGGGGTTAAATTTAACTTGATAAAAATGTTCTTTTGATTGCAGCTGCCAGGCGGGCACCGGACGTTGCATTGTCGACAAGGCCCATCGGAATCAATGCCAGGCCTGCAGGCTCAAGAAGTGCCTTCAAATGGGAATGAACAAGGATGGTATGTATAAATATATTATATATATTTCCCTATAAAGAACTATAGAAAATGGGTTTGGCTTAGAGACAATCAAAGTTTCATGAGCAGCTTTTCACCAATCTTCCACCCAAAAAGGTGGAATCCCATCAATCAGGCATTCAATCAATCGGTGCATGTAAATTATTTTATATACACAATAAAATACTCGATGCAGGGCTGAGAAACAATCAAAGTTTTATACAACACTTTTTCACCATTTTTCCACTTAAGCAGGTGGAATTTTCAAATGTAAATGATTTTAGCTAACAGAGCAGATCAATCATCAATCAATCAATCAGTGCAAATGAATGATTTTTATGGATTTACTTTATAAACACACTTTGCACTTGGTTGAAAAACAATCGCAAGTTCCATACGATAATTTCCTACGAATTGCTCACACTAGTAGGTGGATTTGCAAAAACCCTCACTTGCATCACAATAGACGACTACTGTGAATGATTTCAGCTTAGAGTTCAGTGCAAATGAATATTTATTTATGGATGGTAACTATTCAAGTTCCAAACGACAATTTCTCACAAATTTTCCACCCTAATAGGTGGAATTGCAAAAACCCTTACTAGGGTTTTTTATAACAACAAATATTAAAAAATAAAACGAGCTGCGTTCTGTGTGTTTCGCTGATTTAATTCAACTAACTTTTTTAAACAACAAAGTGTGCCGTTTACCGTCTATAACATTGGCTAAAAGCTGATGCAGCTGCTCTTCAGACTTCAGACTGCATCGCTTGAAGGCAGCGAGTCGTTGGGCTTGCCCTGCCTTTATTTAGTTGAAATCCAAGCAATTTTAATAAAAACCATAATTTAGAAGCTACGGCCATAGTCCATCTAGAGAGGCAAGAAGCCCTCGATGCTAGCCGAAACTGAAACGAAGAACGATTAGGGCTTAATACGAATATTAATGAGAGTAGCCTACGCATCGGAAAGATGGCAACCACCAGAATGGTCATCTCGCAGCTCTTCTCAATGTAGATGCCAACGATAGTTGTGCCGACAACTGCGCCCCAGCGACACCACATTAGGCTAATGCAAAGGGCCTTGGCTCGCATATGCGTGGGCACAAACTGTAGAAGTGCGCCGCCCAACAGGCTGATAACGACGCCCGGCAGGGCGATAAATAGAACGAAGGCAAACAGCTGCAGCCAACGGCCGGTGACAAAGATCAGGGCAAAGCCGCACGAGGACGAGATGACCAGGGCGGCAATAAACAACGCCTTGCGCGGCAAAAAGAAAAGCATCAGCCAGCAAACATTGTACAGAATAATATAGGTAAGG